GCAGCGCAGGCTGTGGCAAAGGCGGCTATGGAGGTGCCAATGCTAACGCAAATGCTAATGCTAACGCTCACGCAGGTGCAGGTGCCAGTGCTTTCGCAAGCGCGAGTGCAAACGCCAATGCCCTTGCAGGTGGTAGCGCCTCAGCTAGCGCAAACGCAAATGCAAACGCTGGCGGTGGAGGTGGCTATGGTGGATACGGTGCTCCCGATTTTGGCGGTCATGGAGTCGGGTAGGTTCACCCAAACATTGTGTTAATAATGCATTAAGTTAAAACTTGTATTAATGCATTAATAATTGCAAATGTCAGACCGGGTAAACTACTATTACAAGCTTAGTATAAGTAATTAATTCACTGTCCATCCTCCAACTAGCCTCCTGAACCGTATGGGAGACCTCGACGTGGGAGTGAACGAGAGCGGCAAGGTGGACAACGCGAAAGGAGTGTACAGCAGCAGTTCAGCCAGCCTGGACTCCTCCGGAAAGGGCACGTACAAAGTAGCTGCGGGCAAAGTGTGAACCCCCTCGAAGAGACCTACCCACGAACTCGAAATTACATCCGTGATTTATTCATACTGTGATTCGAACAATCATATATACGCGTCGCGTTTCGCTTAGTGCTTATTCCGTGCTTAAGTGGGCCATTACTGGCCGGTGCTATCTGCTTTAGCGCAGTTGTTTGTAAATTGTATGACTCGAATAAACGATTGACATCTGTTAACACTCACGTTTTGATATTCCTCGGCTATTTCTAGAGATAAACATTACGCAATAACATCTCGATACAACGTTACTTAATTGTAATCTTTTTTACCGCCTCTTTTTTCCCAAAGATGGCACGTGCAATCGATACTGTACGTCAAGGTGATTCTCAAGGTAGAGGTAATTTAGAACGCGTTATTAGCGATATTAATGCGTCATGTATTTGTGTGACCATCGATAAAATCATCTTCCAGGTTTAATAGTTACCGCAACGATATATTTAACCGCGGATTCGCACCTTAGGTGATGCTATGAATTATTCATGCTCCGTGTACGGAGAATGAATAGTTAACTTGTAACAATCATTTCCGAAATTAAATTGCAATGGATTGTACACAGATACTTTGTAATCGTTTCACTTATACTTTCAATTTTATGCCACTAGTTATCCATAGTTATCAACTGTACAGACATCTTCAAATATTTGCATGTCCTTGGCTGTTGAAAGATCTCATACAAAAATTTTTATATGTATATGGAAAGTTGTCTTAGGTCCTACAAATTTTTACTGAATACTAGTGTGAATATTATTGAATATGACTGTGGTCACAGCAAAGGAAATAGAAGGTATTAACATGTGTTGATGTTATGTACAGTAGTTTATTAGTTTATAAATTTGTACAGTTAATTTTTAATATTTTAGATCATGTAAATTATTATTGAATACTACTGTGAATATTACTGAATATTACTGTGGCCACAGTAAATACAAGATGTTATGTACAGTAGTATCATGTTAGCTAATTTTAAAAACCTGATAAATTCTAAAAATCTATATTTGTCACTCTACACAATTTCTCCTAAATTTTGATAATGTCTTGATGGAAGGTTATAAAGAAAACTGTATTCTCATATATTACTTTGTATTTGGAACACATTGGTATTTATTTCTGTGTAGTAACATCCGTTATCGATCCGTTATATCATCTTATCAAGCATCCAATGATACAATCGATTCCAAGAATTAATTTTCCATTAATCAAACAGGATTCTCAATACATTCCTCTTGCAGATTATAAACGATCGTTAAATAAATTACGGTTAACCACACGTTTGAAGGTCGTATAAAAGGGTATTATCCTTTCACTCCAACGGGTCCTGCCCAGCCTGTAATTATGTATTGTTAGAAAATTACTTTTTGGTGATTGATGTGGATATTTTTTGGGACTTACTGTTGGCGCTGCTGCTGGCGTATGCGGATGCACCGCTGGAGGCCCAGCCACCGTTTCCTGCTTGGCTTCCGGCACCACTGGAAGCCCAGCTTCCACTATTTGCTTGTGCTAGATTGGGTACTGAAAGGAAATTGTGTTGTTAATACTTTGAGTTTATTATTTGGGTTAGTTTATTAATGTAAGAATGATTGTATTGTAAGATCATTTATTTTGATCAATGTTAAATGCTTGTTGAAGATACTGGAATTTGTTGAAAAATTAATTGGAATATTTGAAGGAATAGTTGAAGATGTAGCTGAAGAAGTAATTGAAGAAGTAGTTGAAGAATTAATTGAAGAATAAGTTGCAGAAGTAGTTGAAGAACTAATTGAGAAATTAGATGAAGAAGTAGTTGAAGAATTAACTGAAGATCCAATTAAATAACAAGTTGCAGAAGTAGTCGCAGAACAAGTTGATAAACTAGTCCAAGAATGAACTAAAAGACTAATTGAAGAAGTAGTTGAATAAGTATTTGGAAAACTAGTCTAAGAATTAATAGAAAAACAAGTTAATGAATTACTTATAGAATTAACTGAAGAACAAATTGAATAACAAGTTGCAGAAGTAGTCGCAGAACAAGTTGATAAACTACTCCAAGAATGAACTAAAAGACTAATTGAAAAAGTAGTTGAATAAGTATTTGAAAAACTAGTCTAAGAATTAATAGAAAAACAAGTTGATGAATTACTTATAGAATTAACTGAATAACCAATTGAATAACAAATTGCAGAAGCAGTTACAGAACAAATTGCAGAAGTAGTTACAGAACAAGTTAATAAACTACTCCAAGAATGAACTAAAAAACTGGTTAAACAAGTGCTTGAACAAATATTTCAAAAACTACAAGAATGAACTAAAAAACTAATTGAACATTCAGTACAAAAACTGATCCAAAATCTAAAAAATTAGTCACCAAACCAGTTAAATTCCTCAAAAGTAACAAAGAAAATACATAATCCAATTCATCAAATATAAATAATCTAATGTCGCAGTTAAATCATAAAATCCGCAAGTTAATCGCGTTGCTAAAGGTTAAAGCGATAACCTTATTACGTTTAAGTCAACAAATCGTGCCTCCTGTGTCTACAACTTTGAATTACGCAACGTCGTTTACGTTAAGAGAGCGGAAGTTGTCCGATGAGATCAACGATTCTCATTAATTAACAACCCGCGGCTCTGATTTATGTTTAATTGTGAGGGAGGCCCCATCAATCAACGGGACGTTTCTTCGGCCGTGTTCGACACCGGACCTTGACGAGTTTTCCCATCGTAGTTTACATTCATATGATAATCTGCATCTGATTTCTGTCCTTTGACCTTTCCGAGTTCTTCGTTCCGCATGGGGAATTACGACGCAAGCTCACAGACTATGACAATTATGAAGATTTGAAGATTATATTAATTTCAGTAATTATATTAAGTGACACAGAGTAAATCAGAGGCTCTCTGTCGGCACCTTTGATCTCTCAAAAACGCTGTCCCTTTAAATTACACAAACGAGCGGGAAATTTAAATCGAGCAAATCTACTTTCAATCTCTAATAACTTGGAATATACTTATAATAAATTTTCCGTACTAATATTGTCTTTTGAAGTATTTTTATCAATTTTACAACGTTGAAAATTTGAAAAAGAAGAGAATAAAAATGATTGCTCTACAAAATATATTTAAAGAATATGTATTACGGAAATAACTTCTAAGAAAATGAAAAACTATATCGCAAGAAATTACGGATGAATGTTACAGAGATGTGACAAAATATTTATTAGAAATAAATTACTGGTGAATGTGCAGGTTTAAACTATTCTTCGATCGCCATACTTCTACACTGTGCGCTCCCTCGATTCTTTTGATTTGGGCATTTAAATTGGTATTGTCTCTCTCTAGGAGGGCTTGTTTAGTGTCGTCTCTTGTTATATCTAGTCTTTGATAAGGCCCTTGCCTTAGGGATGTATGAAGGGATGAACAGGAACTATTTGTATGAATAGGAAGGTTAGTACTAGCGAGAAAGTCTCGGTCTCATGCGCCATCTAGCGGCAAAAGGAGAAGTACATACCAGCACCAGCTCCTGCTCCAGCTCCAGCATTAGCTCCAGCTCCAGCACTAGCTCCAGCAAAGCTAGAAGCCACAGCACCGCTAAATGCACCACCGAATCCTCCATTAGCTCCCGAATGCCCAGGCAAGCTTGCAAGGTCTCCCGAGAGTCCAACGCCTCCTCCGCTTCCCACACCTCGATTTATCCCTGTAGGACCTCTAGCACCTCCACCCGCTCCTCCACTGGATCCAGGAATGTGATACGATCCCTGTAGTACATCGTGATCGTTGAATGAATGAGTTTTGAATATTGGATGTGAACTTACTGGACCTACTTACTGGACCTGATGAGCTTCCAATGTCTCCTCGCGTGGGTTCTACGTCTGTGAAGAAGGGATTGTCTTTACCGACGGGTTTTGAGGGACTTGAAGAATCGGGACCTGATATGGGAACTGTTTCTTGGCTCCAGGAACCAGCTCCGGTACTGCCGAGTCCTGAGCCTGATAGGAATGGGTTTCCGGCACCGATGGGTTTGTTGGTTGATGAGGATGAACCACCTGAAATGTGAAAGGTTTTTGTGAGAGTTTAGCTATACAATATTATATTGTTACACCAAATAATGTAGTACTATTCTAGTCCTGCATTACTATTCAAACTGATACAATACAAGAATGAATGATCATAAGCTAAGCCTTACCTACATTAGGGCTTGGAACTACATTAGGAACCTTCCCATTCAGAAAAGGATTTCCTGCATATCCCCCATTATTATCATTTTCAATCTTGTTAATATACGGCGGTCCTCCAGCACCAGGTGCACAATTTCCCTGCTGGCAGCCATATGCGCTTCCAGCACCGGTAGATGTTTGACCAGGAAACGCTGGTTGTGAAGTTTGCGAGTAATCATTGGGAGAAGGGACACCTCCCACTGGACCAACTATTTTGTTGACATTGACTGCACCTTGGTCACAAGGTTTACCACCTGGGGATCCGCTACTGCATCCACCTCCACAACCTTGACTACCGCCAGTGCATCCTCCGCTGCAACCTTGACTACCTCCACTGCATCCTCCGCTGCAACCTTGACTACCTCCACTGCAACCTGCACCGCCTGCTCCAGGTACTCCACCTGGTCCTATGGGCTGTGAACCCAATGGAGCTTGATTTACCGGGTGACCCGCTCCAGGAGAACCGGTAGGTCCTCCCTGAGAAAATGGAGATTTGGTTGGACCGAAAGGTCCGGATCCACCGAAGGGCTTTGTACTGGCACCTCCAAAGGGTGAAGGCTGAGTTCCAGGTCTGGTTGCTCCAGGACCTCCAAAGGGTGAAGGTTGAGTTCCAGGTCTAGTTGCTCCTGGTCCACCAAAAGGTGAAGGTTGACTCCCAAGACTAGTTGCTCCAGGACCTCCAAAGGGTGAAGGTTGTGATCCAGGACTAGTTGCTCCAGGACCTCCATAAGGTTGGTTCCCAGGTTTAGTTGCTCCAGGACCTCCATAAGGTTGGCTCCCAGGTTTAGTTGCTCCAGATCCTCCAAAAGGTGAAGGTTGAGATCCAGGTCTAGTTGCTCCAGGACCGCCAAAAGGTGAAGGATGTGTCCCAGATTTAGTTGCATCAGGACCTCCATAAGGTGAAGGTTGAGTCCCAGGACTAGTTGCCCCAGGACCACCATGAGGCGAAGAACCTCCATAAGGTTGAGTCCCAGGTCTAGTTCCCCCAGATCCTCCAAACGGTGAAGGCCTAGTTGCTCCAGATCCTCCAAAAGCTGAAGGACTACTTGGTCCAGATCCTCCATAAGGTTGAGTTCCAGGGCTTCCTCCAGGTCCTCCAGAAGGAGAAGGTTGACTCCCAGGACTTCCTCCAGGTGCCCTAAAAGGTTGCCCCGCACCAGAATCTCCAGGTTTCGTTCCAAAAGAAGGCCTATGTTTAGGACGTTTGATTCCAACAGGACTTCCCGGCGCAGGCTTAACGTCTATGTAAAATATATTGCTGTCTCCGTTATTAGAAGTGGGACGACCTGTACTTCCGGAGTTAGGTTTGTTCCCAAACGCGTTCGGAGAGGATCCAGAAGGGGCGCCTTTGGTTCCGGAGTAGGGTTGGTTAGCAGGGCTTGCTCCGGCGAAAGCGGTGCTGACGGCGTTAGCGGTTGCGATGCTGTTGGCGCTGTGTGGACTACCTGGTCTTCCTGAAGCTCCTGGATATCCTGGATTTCCTGGACTCCCTGGTCCTCCTGAAGCTCCTGGATACCCTGGACTTCCTGGTCCACCATAACCTCCTGGTCCTCCTGGACTTCCTGGACCACCTGGCCTTCCTGAAGCTCCTGGATATCCTGGTCCACCATAGCCTCCTGGTCCTCCTGGACTCCCTTGTTGGGAGAGTAATAGCTAGTTATATTCATAGAAGGAATCTACCTTATCATTCCATATATGCAAACGACACCTTTATGTAAATATGTAAAACTGTATATATGTTACCGTGAAAGACAGAAATTGGAGAATGTCGACATATACCAAGTACGTCGGTGAAAGACCGAATATTTTATTACATTCTTGTACATTCTCACCGGTGTATGTCGACAATCACAGATATGTTCTGGTGGAGGTCCAAAAGAGAGGAGCCGACGAAGAAGCGACTGGCTCTCTCCCGCCAAATCCTGTGTTGGAGTCAGTCAGCTTTGTCAATCTTATGCAAGCTTTGATGATGCGAGCAACGTTTTATTAATTTTTTTTCCAATACCGTAATTTATACCGAATGGATACTGCAGTAAATCGTGATCTTTTTCTTGAAAAGTTAAATGCATTAATTGC